AAAACCTCTCATTTTCCTACTGAATTTAAAATAGCAGAAGCAAAAATGTGAATTTTTTTCGAATCGTCGAAATCTCGAAGAGGGAAACCGAGAAACGGTTGCAAAATCGCTTCAGCCTTAATACTCTTGCAAAAGAACATCGCAAAAACCGTCATTTGTCGTTTGAGTTTCATCACGAATTTGCACTTGCACTTTTAACACAAAAAGCAAAAATGTTACAAAAGCGACAATTAGCCCACCCTGTATATTCTCATTAGGCATTTCCGGAATTTAAAATATTTCAACTTTATCTGTTCGGCTCCTAATGAAAAACCTGCTCCTTCCTACTTTCCTCCTTTTGAAACCTTTGAAATGTTAAAAAAGGGAAACAAAAGGCCGTCGCTTTTGTGTACGATTTTCGGCAAATGGCGCTCGCTCTTATCCGTTTGCCTGTGATAATCGAATGTAATGCAGGAAGGAATAACCGCGATTTGTCATAACTTGTGAAGAAATCACACTGATTGCCGCTATTTATTCCATTTATACAGCGCGTTCATTAAGCAAAGAAAAGTAGGTGAAACTTACCGTAACTAGTAGCAGTAGTAGCATAGAGCGACTCATTAAACTCTGGACTTAACTGGCTAAGCATTTTGACGAATTTGTCACAAGGAGGCTTCTTGGTGGTTGTGGTTGTGGTGATAACCGGCCTGCCATCCAAAGGAGCGTTCGGATGGTTGATGTCGTACAAAAACTCCGGAATGATTGGCACTAGAGAAACATCAGCATATTAATGCAGTTGCCTTAAGCTGGGGTGCGCTAGTCTAGATGAAATTAATGGGCCTGAATTGGTAAACGGTTAATCCATTACTTGGGCGCTCTAAACGATAAGAGCAATCCGGGCAAGAACAAAAGCCGATCGCTGGGAAAGTTTCGCAAAGGCATCATGCATTGCAAATGCCATCTTGACCAAGTGGCCAGCGACGCCAACGTCGATGTTTACTCGCCACTCTTATCAACTTAATGGCCCGAGTTATTCTCGAGGAAAACCCGAGGGATAACTAAAACGGAGTTAACAAATGCACTCATAAATTTTTAAACAGGCTGTCAACGATCTCGGGGTGATTTTTCACCAAAGCGAAACGGAGCCACTAAATATACAATCTGTTGATTCGTTTCCCACGCTTTTTCTTCAAACTTGACAGCCAGAAATATTTAATTCATTAAAGTGGAAGATAAACTCACTGATGCAGATGGTTTGCTGAAACCGCTCAAGACCATCAAGGTTTTCGGGAAATTAACACGATTTTCGCCGAGGCCTTGTCATGGTGAAATTTTGATAAAAGGATGAGCAATTCACTCTCAACTATGGTTTTTCTTGCATGGCCACACATAAACTTCCAATGATATCAAAAGGATTGATAGTGTGGATAGATGGGGAGTCGCGCCTGGATGGGCTTGGAAAGCAGTTCGCTTTTCATGTTTAATGCATCAAATTAACTAAACTACGTCGGCAAGGTAGATTCAGTGCTTCCGAACTGGAAGTAGCGAACATTGGGAAAAGCATTGTAAACCGAGAAGGTTTTTAGAAAACTGCAATAAACTAAATATTTGTAACTTGCTCAGAACATCGGGTCTATTAAAAAGCTAATCCAAATGGCTCCGATAGGTTAAGAGGGTTTTTTTCCTTTTGCCCAAGCAAACGAGGCCACCAGCACGATTTTGAGATCCAACGGTCAGCTAATTAAAACAGTAACTTAAATTGCGAAACTCTCTCGTCTCGCAGCCCCGAGTGTAATTTAAACCCCTGTTCCAACAACATAATCCATTTTCAAATCAATCTCGAATACCTTCAGCTAATAAGCGAAGTGCCTCCTTATTTGCCTCCAGTCTTCCACGGCCAGATTGCCTGTTAATGGGGACCCATTTTATCCTAATTTCCCTCCGTCTCTCTTGGAATACTTTGCGATGGCCATTTTTTCTTTGCCAAATTATCCGCACTTATTGGCAATCAAACTGCTAGTCTTAGTAGGGCGAAGAAATCATTTTCTAGGGATTTTAATTGCATGAACAAATGCTTGCAGGTTTATCAACAATTACTCGTAAAGAGATATTTTTAATTGCTGACTTCAAGGCTTTTAGGTCGTCGCGAAAAAAAATGTCTTACCAACGTTTCGCATGCAGGAGAGACTGTCATCCTCAGACTGGTGGTGGATCTTCAAACCCTATTTCTCACATGATTTCGCAAAAATCGTTCAGCGTGAATGTGCAAATTTGAGGTTTTATCGAACGTTTAAAGAATGTTACTCAAGAGCTTTCAGTCAGTGCCCTAAAAAAACTCCGATTTTTGTCAGAAAATGTGAACCTTTAAAGCCGTACAGGCAAAATGTGGATATTTTAAGAATCAATAGGATAATTTAGTCGGGATCCTCCGAACAGGAAATCATGTAAAAGATGTGAAAATTTCGAGATTCGTCAACCTCAGGCTCCACCAGTACCTACCGGTTTCGAGCCTATTAGCTCTCATCACGACCACGAAACCTATTTTTTTTTAAGTGGTAAAGCCCGTAACCGAAAAACGGTTGGAAATTCAATTCAGATGTGAATTTTCAGATAGAGTAACTCACAAACTGTAATTTTTGTGATAGCTATTTTCCGAAATTCCTAACCTTTGTAAAAGTACAGGCAAAAATGTGAAAATTTTACTATGGTCAAAGTTGCGAAGAGCGCAACTTAAAAACGAGTGAAAATATCGGTTAAGCCCTCATATCCTTTTTGACAGACCATTTCAAAAATTGTATTTTTTAACAGAAACTCTTAACCTTTAAAATAGTAGAGGTAAAACTGGGGAAATTTACGGAGTCGTGGAGGTTTCAAAGAGCGTAATTCAGGAACCGTCAAAAATATCCGTTCAGTTGTTATGACCTATGAGATAGAGCAACTCAAAAACTGTAATTTTTTTGATCGGGTTTTCCCGAAATTCCTAACCTTTATAAAAGTAGAGACAAAAATGTGGTAATTTCATCGATGGTCGAAGTTTCAAAGAGCGTCACTTAAAAACGAATAAAAATATCGCTTAAGCGCTAATAACCAGTTAGACCATCTGAAAAACTGTAATTTTTCATCAGAAACTTTTAACCTTTAAAACAGAATAGAGAAAACTGGGGAAACTAACGGAATCCTGGAAGTTTCGAAGTGCGTGACTCAAAAACGGTCGA